TAAAAGTTAAATTAATATTTTTTATAATAATTTCTTGCAATTCCAAAAATAAATGGGTAAATAAGTTTAATAAAACATCCTATTATAAAAATATAAAGTATAATAGAGGGAGACTTTTTAATTATTTTATTCATTAATGTATTTGGTTATAGCTAAAAATATAGATATTGAGCAAATTTGACTAATTTATAAATCTAAATTATATAAAAATAATCCTAGCAATTTTAAGACAATATCTGTTTAAAAATTTGTCATCATAAATTGTAATAACTGATTTCTTAAATAATTTAGTAAGTTCCCAATAATATCTTTACTATTTCTATTCATTTGATAAATAACAAATATGTCTTTAAGCTTAATTTTTCTAAACGATTTTTATTTACCATTAAAAGAATAAATATAAAGAATCAACCCACCTATAATGAACAATCCAAAATGATAATTATGGTTCACTTGAAATCATATTCCATTAATAAATATGACCTGTAACATATCTTTCTGTAGTATTAGCATTTAGCCATTCATAAATGATTACAATATTTTAAATATTTAATGTACCTACTAAAAATTATATTTTGATTGAATTATAATAATATAAAATATGAATATAAATTATATTAATGATATACCTCTTCAGATAAAACTAACTTAATTTTATTATAATATACTTTTTACTTCTTTTTTATCATCCTTCTTAGGTGCTATTAATTATTTATTATTTTATTTTCAAATTTTATATAAATTAACTTTCATTATTCAAGTCTAATAGATGTTTTTATAATATAATAGAATTACAAAATGGATGATGTTAAATGCAAATGGAAAATATATATTAATATTATTAAGTAGGATATTCATGGAGGAAAGAATGTAAAAGATATATCACTAATAGATAATAATAAAAATTTTCATTAGGTAGATATACTTGACAATTATTCAATCAATTCATTATTTGGCAATTATAAATTAGAGTCAACCAAAAGTTATTGCGCATTTTCGTATTAACCAAATAAAATTAAGCATTAAGCTAAATATTCAATAAAGCTATACCTTTTCCATATAATGTATTCACGTCCTAGGGATTTATATCCAATGCTTTTTGGTACCATTCAAGTGCCTGTTAAAATTAATTCATCTCTCTTAGGCAATGACCTTTAAAATTATATTAAATTTACCTTATCCCCTTAATGAATCAATATTTTATGGGTCGATATCCAATACTTTTTGATACCATTCAAATGCTTATTAGAATTAATTCATCAATCTTAGACATTCACCTTTAATTAATTGTACTAAATTTACCTTTTCGATATAATGCATTAATGTCTTATGGATTTATATCCAATACCTTTTGATACCATTCAAGCGCTTATTAATAATTACACATCTAATATAGGCAATGACCTTTAAAGTATAATTAAATTACCTTTTCCTCTTAATGAATCAATGTTCTATGGGCTGATATCCAATACCTTTGATACCATTCAAATGCTTATTAGAATTCATTCATCAATCTTAGGTTTTCACCTTTAATTACATGTACTAAATTTACCTTTTCCATATAATGTATTAATGTCTTATGGATTTATATCCAATGCTTTTTGATACCATTCAAGTGCCTATTAAAATTAATTCATCCCTCTTAGGCAATGGCCTTTAAAATATATTAAATTTACCTTTTCCACGCAATGAATTAATATGTAATGGATTTATACTCAATGCTTTTTCGAAATATATAATTGCATCTTAATATTGTTCCTTCCAATA